CTGACATTAGAGGATTTTATTATATATATATATATATATATATATATATATATATATATATATATATATATATATCATACAATAGGAATTAAGATTACATTAGGTTAATGATAATTTTCGCCTAGTAAATTGAAATAAAATTTACAATGATTTTTCAAACCATTCAGTGGAGATTAATTATTGAAATAAAAATGGCCAGGCAGAGGAAGGAAAGAAAGAAGGAAAGGGAAAAGAGAAAAAGGGAGTAAATAAAAACTAGGAAGTAGTGTAAGTCTGGATATGAGGGGTGGTCAGAGGAGAAAGGAAAAGAAAAAAGGGAGAGAAAAAGAGAAGAAATGACTTATTCATTTTAAACACAGTAGCAATCAGAATGTAGTTTAGACTTAAAGAAAACCTTAACTCTATAAACAAAAATAATATTATTTCAAATAAAGAGATAAATCCATTGATATGAAATAGAGATAATTAATAATTAAAGATATATTAAAATAAACAATATAACAGAAAAATAATAAGAAAAATATGAAGATTAATCTATTAAAAGGATTATATTATCTTAGGAAGAAGTATCAAATTTAACATCTACATTTAAATCAACATATTTGAAATTATACCGATATTAAATAATTCACATCTACAAGGAAAAAACAGTTAATATTTATCATCAAATATATAATGTAATGAACCAATAAGAGAAAGATTAAATAAAATTAAAAATCTACACTTTAAATTAGGAAAGAAATGCCTTTTGAATAAAGTGAAAGAAGACGTGCCTTAAGAATATATTTTTAAGTTTTTTAATTGTCAGTATAACAGTAAGCGTTATTCTTTGTTTCTCAAGTTATCTAAACTAAATCTTTTCCATCTAGTTAAGTATATTACCGTTTTTACAATACTCTCTTGCCTTTCGTAGGTCCTATGAGTGTAAGGTTCTCCAAGCCCTTTTTCCTCATTATGTATGCCAGAAATTTCAACTATAAGTATAATTATCCTTTTAGTTCCGATTTTCTTTAAATCTACGTCGATGCTCAAAATTCCATCCATGGTATTCACAGAACCACATCACTGCTGTTTCTTCTTCATCCGTAAGGAGATTGTTCAGAATACTCTGGGATATAGGAGATTAGACATTACAAAGAACAACAAAGTAAGTAAACAGACTAGTGTTAAATAACATTGAAGGGGCTAGAAAAAATAGACGATGAAAGCTGGCAGTAACGGGAACAGGGAGAAGGAGCTGGTAGGTAAACGGGTGGCAAAAAGGGAGATGACAATCTGGTAATACGGGTAATTCAAAGAAATATGATTGATGTTGCATCACCTGGAACAGAACCTGTTGGAAGACCCAGAGGTATAAAAAAGAGACATAAATATACCAATATATATATATATATATATATTGGTAGTTCATAGAAAACACACATACACACACACACGCACACATATATATCAGATAACATTGAGCTAGCTAGACGGCCTTTTGTATAGTGCGCGGATGGACAATAGCACAAGTTGGGGAAAGGCGCTAAGGAAAATATTGATACAAAGATATACTTTTTGAGCTAGAGTTGATAAAGACGAATACTTGGACAGCGTCAGAAAAGAATGCATATATATATATATATATATATATATATATATATATATATGAGTGTGAGTGTGTGTGTGTGGTTTGTGACTTCCTTTTCTTATGCACATAAGAGTGTAAGGGTGCTCGATTTTAAATACTTTTAAAGTGCTTTTTAATACACATATTAATTATATATTTTGATTATTTACCGATTAACAGTCTCGGAACATTTTGAAATTTTCATTTTGAAAATCGCATTCCCTGAAGTAAATTTTTATGGGTAGATAATAAAATTATATATATATATATATATATATATATATATATATATATATATATATATATAAGCAAATATATGGATATAGATCCGACAGTATGAAGAAAAATATACTGAAAAAACAAACGAAAATTCTAATATGCGGTTATATTGTTTTAAGGTTTAATGTCAACGTCGGACGTTTCGGTCTAATAGACCATCTTCAGGACATATTCATAAAACATAATTAACATAGACCATATACAATTCAACATGAAAAAGACGATGGACATAAAAGCAAGACCAATCCAAACAGATAACTGAAATCTTTTATAAGATCAGCGTTCCGTTTAAATATAATCGCATATTAGGATTTTTGTTTCAGTATATTTTTCTTCATATATATATATATATATATATATATATATATATATATATTGAGACATGTGTTATTGAATAATTTAGACAAATTTTCACTAGTTATTTTCAATTGGATCTTTTCATATTCACGGTCAAGCTTTTCAGTTTCAATTTTTATTATAAATAGCTTCGAGAATTTTTAGTTTATCTTTATTATTTTCATGAAAAAGTACAGATATATTTTCAACAAAAGAATTTTTCTGAATTGCAACTGTGGACAGGTATGCAGTTGTAAATGTTTTAGAAATGTTGGACACATCATTCAAATTAAAACTCAGCCGCCGAGACAACGTGGTCGTAGTGCCTCCAACATAAATATTATTTTTTTGGTGGGAGATATAATCTCTAAGAGGACATTGAAGTTTATAAAAAATGTTTTTCTGCAACACGTTAGTTGGTACGGAATAGTCGTTACGAATGTTTGAATGAGATTTAGTTTTAGTACAGTATATGTATATAAATTTTATAAATATATGGCATATATATATATATGTCATATTGAATAATAAAATTATATATATATACAACCTGTGAGGGTTACAAATTTTCATTCTTCCTAAAATTTCGGACATATTTCTATCTTCTAATAGAATCTTGATGCATATTCTCTGTGAATACGATTATCACACAATACGCAAACTCAGTCAATAGCCTCTCGCTGCCAACTATGTCATTTCACGAGAGAGGGTTTTAACATGTCCATATTTTTAGGAAATATACTTATATATATGTAAAGAGAGAGAGAGAGAGAGAGAGAGAGAGAGAGAGTGTGTGTGTGTGTGTGTGTGTATGCGTGTTAAGATTGTCTGTTTATGTTTCAACAACCATAAACAATAGGGTACAAAAATGTCTGTCCTGTCTTAAAATAGCCTTGGTTGTCAACCAGTTTGTCGCAGAATGAAAGGGCAAGCTATTGTGAGAAAATCTTCTGCCAAGTCATGAATCGTGTATTGACAATCCGATGTGTGCATGGCATGGAAAATACACACACACACACACACACACACACACACACACACACACACACACACACACATATATATATATATATATATATATATATATATATATATATTGGGAAATATTTTACTCAGTAGGACGCTCACTCACTCGCGTCCTACTGCCGACTTCGTCATCTCACAAAAGAGTCCTTTTTCCGTATGATTCCTCTTGCTTGGCTGCCAAATTCAATCGAGATCTTGCAACCCTGTCCTTGTGTTATTCAGATATAAACAATAAAGGTTGACATGCCGTAATGTATGCGTTAAAACGAGTCTTTCACCTTTGTTAGTCAATCTTAGCAAAGAACAGACATTTTCCTTCAGGCCTATCTTATTTTTTCGCTTTATTATCTTTGGCAAAAAAAAAAAAGGGTTGGCGAAGATTGATGGAAAGTGTTAATAAGTAAATGAATAAACAATTATGGCAACCTATCAAAGCGAACCGGCGATAAATACATTTTCCTGGTGTTAATGCTTCTTGGGCAAATAAAATACCAAGGAAAACATTTACAATAGTTAAAGCTATAGAAATGTTGCAATATGGGCCGAGTTTTATGAGTGTTCGTCAAAATATTACATATATACTGATAGGGAAAGTGCTAGAAATAGGGGACACAAGAAACGAGGAAACTTTTTTTTAATCCATCCACCCCCAAGCAAGGCGATTATCCCACTAAGTCCTAAACTGGAAACAACGGATAAACTTTTACTCCTGTTCAAAACACCAGGGAGGAGTATGAACCGGACGGTAGGCGAAGCTTTCTATTCCTATGAGGAAAAATAATAATAAATAGAAAATAGCAAATAACATTTCAAAGTTTAGGCGGAGACGGCAGAAGTGTAGGGTTGAGTTATACTTTACAAGGAACCGGAAGCCCGATTTTAAACCGGAAACAAGGGATACACCTCTACACCTGTTCAAAAGTCCGGTGGAAGCGGGAACAGGGCGATAGGTGAACCTATCTATTTCTATTTCATCCATTAGGCCTGACCTCACAGTCTACGTAAATTGCATCCATGTGCATAGGGATACATTCACGCACTCGGAGGCTTCTATGTTCAAAGATACATAATATTCCCTGTGAATGCGGCGGTTACACAGTACACAAGCTCACTCACTGGCGTCTCAATGCCGACAATATCATCTCACGTGAGAGATGTTTTTAAAGTAAGATTCTCCTTGATTGGCTGCCAATTTAAATCGAGATCGCGTAACCGGTTCTCAATTTATTTAGACATAACGTTGGCATAACGTAAAACCCTTTGGACAAAAGGTTGACATACCGTAAAAACCAACCAAAAATATGACATGAAATCACATGGAAAAATAAATCTTTGTTAGATGGTATATTCTTGTTTTTGTTCATAATTTTCTTGTTTCTGAAATTCAAATTTATTTTATTTTTACCTTAAAAAATAAGATGCTCTTGTGAACAAGAAAGAAAGAAAGAAAGAAGCTGTAGAGATGAAAAGAAAAGAATGAAAACGCAGATGAATTTAAGTTTTACGACTTATCAAACTTTTTTGAAGATTATTTAAAGCAAGAAAGTACTTTTAAATTGTAAGAATTTTTTGGAGATAATAATGATTTACTGACACTATTCCTACTATTTAACCTATAGCTTTGGGGCGGGGGAGTGGATTCATACCTTTCCCAAAAGTATACGCGTGTAAGTGAATATAACAAACACAAGTTGAATTAAACTCGGATCTCCGATTTCGTTATCCATTCCACCACCCACACATCACAATTTACAGCACCTGGTATTCCTAAGCGGTTACCCATCTAGGTACTAACTAGGCTTAACGTTGCTTACCTTCTGTGATCGTACGAGAACTGGTTTTTCAACGTGATATGACCTTAAGCAAGAAAACCCGACAGAAAAACAAGAAGCCGGAAAAAAGAAAATCACAGTTAGTGTAAAAAAGACGTTTTTGATTTTAAATGTAAAAAAAAAAAAAAAAAATAAAAATCAGAGAGAAAAAAAAGGGAAAGGTCAATTAGAGAAGAAAGAAGGTAGGAAGCGAGAGGGGAGTAATGTGACAAAATAGAAAGAAAGAAAGAAAGAAAGAAAGAAAGAAAGAAAGAAAGAAAGAAAGAAAGAAAAGAAAGAAAAGGGCGAGGAAAAGAAAGAAAGCAAAGCCAAATTTGTAATGAAGAAAGACAGAAAATGAAGATGTCTCAGAAAGATAAGAAAATGAAGACGTAAAATGGGAGTGGGGCAAATGATAAAGCAGAGGAGAAAGAAAGAAAGAAAGAAAGAAAGAAAGAAAGAAAGAAAGAAAAGGAGTTATTGTGAGAAGTAAAAAAAGGTATTCAAAACATTCGTTCTTCCGCTCGACTTTCAGTCCTTGTTGAACCAGTATAGAAATATTTGCGTTGGCTTTAATCTACGTTAAAACTTAATAAAAACAAAAAAACAAAAAACTAAAACTAAAAGTTTAAAATCCCGGCATTGAACTCATTAGTAATGCCTCAGCAATGACGTCACATTAATGTGATATTTCTTGGAAAAGATCACGTGTCCTTTCGTTTATGGTCGGCTAATCGACTCTTGAACAGTAACATTGACTCCATTAAACAAATATCTGTTCAGACTGTAACTATTTGTTTGAACAATTGAAAACATCAAATATAAAGTACAATATAACAGGCTATTAAGTAAGTACATATATCCAGATTGATATATACTCCGTTAGTTAGAGAAATTTTCCGTAAAAAATACTGCCATATCTGGTCTGGTACTCCGGTTATATATCTCGAGATTCTTGATAAAATCCAAGGAAGGGTCAGTAATGTTATCGGTCCTAACCTGGCAACTCGACATCAGTCACTTTCCCAAAGCCGTGATGTGGCTTCCTTCAGTCCTTTTCTATAAATATTTTCATGGAAGTTGTTCTGATGATCTTTCTTCCTTGTTACCTTGAATTTAAGCGCACTGCTATATTAACTATATTAGCTATTAGATCTCATCGTTTTATCATTGAAAGATGTAACTGTAAGTTCTATTCGAATAGTTCGTTTTCTCGGACTCGTTTTCTCGATTTCTTGCTTCCCTGTCAACTACGATCTTAAAAAAATGTAAATCGCTGTCTTCTGTCTTCCTGAAGTCTGTTCTTTTATTGTCCTTTCTCCATACTAATGTTTTCCCATTTTCTTCTACTGCCTCTTCCATTATCACTTTTCTACTACTTAGTGGTATTATCACCTTGTTTGGAGTGAACTGATTTAAAAAAAAATGTATGTGTATATCTGAGAATTCTAAATACTTATTAGGTATTCTATTGTAGAGAGATGGTAGGCGGACTAGTAGAGTATGCTATTGTTGATCAGATATACCATAAGAATATTGGCGGATTGGCCATGGTGTCAACTTGCCCGATGGCAAGTGGGCCCCTGATGGCATGCTCCACCTATACCAAATAAAAATGCAATAAAGAAACATACACAGACAATTGTTTTAGTAATAAAAAGGAATAAGAACTTTATAAAGTCATCTGCACATTATCATTTACTCAAGTCCAAAGTCAGAGGGCATTTTCAAAGCTAAAAATCATAAAGACAAGGTTAAGAAAGTTCTCTGCCTTAGGAGAATATGGAATCATACATTTATCATTAAAAAAAGGAATTGTTATATGATTTGGATGCAGAAGCAATTATTGACAGATTCGCACAATAATTTATTGAAAAACAAACGACTGCTCTTAATATAGTGGGCTTGCATGCAATGCTCTATTTTGCATTTAACTTTTTAAATGCATAAATCGTACAGTAAATTATTTAAAGATATCAACCAATTACTTAAAATTAAAAATTAATTTATAACATGCTGCATTTACATAATGTATTAAGTTTTCTCGAATGCACAAGCCGGCAGACAAAATACTAAAATTTGTTGTTAATTAGGGCAAGGAAAGGCTTCTCAATTTGAACTCCTCCAAAACGAAACTGCTCTCTTTTAATCGTCTGAGAGAAGTCTTTTTACTTTTCATCATCATGGTTGATACTAACTCCCAGGAGAGGGACTCATTGCGCCTTCTCGGACTAACGTTTTCCACCGACAGGAAGTAGAAAAATTATATTGAATCAACTGCTAGGACGGCTGCTAGGAAAGTTGGTTCATTGTGTCATGATAGACATTTTTTCTCGCCAGAATATATCTTATATATTTATAGGTTTACTACTCATCCTTGCTTTGAATATTGCTGTCACATATGGTCTAGTGCTCCTGCGATATATTTAAAGATTCTTGATAAAATCCAAAGAATCTGCAATGTTATTGGTTCTAGCCAGGCATCTCGACTTAAATCACTTTCTCATCACCGTAACATAGTTTTCCTGTGTCTTTTCTATAAATACTTTCATGGTCATTGTTATAATGAACTGTCCTCTATGGTACATAGATTTATGAATTTGAGCGCTGTACTGGATTGGCGGCATGGTCTCATCATTTTACAGTTAAAATAGGTTGATATAACCGTAAGTTCTATGCTAACAGTTTCTTCTATCGCGCTTATGAAAGTCTTTCTCGGTTTCTTGCTTCCAAGTCAAATTTGTTCTTCAAAATTTTAAATGCAATGTCAATTATTATCTGCTGTCTTTTCAATTCTTCTTCTTTTGTTCTCTCTCATAGTTTTCCACTGATATTCTCCAACCCTTGCGTCCTAGTGGCTTTATTGCCTTGCCTGAGGTGGAATGTTTTTTAAAAAAAAAACTTTAACGATGTGATTGAGAACTTTCTCAGATCCTTAGTAAATATATATGCAGATGATACCACAGTGCATGGGTGCCCCTCCAAATATCTGGATGACCAGTACCTGTCAGCTGATCTCTCCTCTGACCTAGCTCTCACAGTTCAGGGGAGGAATGACTGGCTGGTACTATTCAATACCTCCAAACTAAGACACGTAACACTTCATAACCACTGAGTCGACCCTGTATTAATCCTGATGAGCGGCCATGCCCTCAAAGAAGACCCTTTTCTCGAATGCCTAAGGGGTGTAACGCTCACTTCCGATCTCAAATGGAACACGTATATTCGCATAGGATGCTGAAAGAAGGGCCGGTTCTTTGTATCCCTCCAGAAAATACCTGAACTCCTTCTGCTATTCTCTATCTTTAGAAGAGTCAGATCAGATCAAGAATGGAGGATTGCTGCCATATCTGGGCTGGTGCTTCCCAATCCTCACTGTATAGCCTTGAGAGAATTTAAAAGCACCTAGGAAGTCTTATGGGTGATGACTTATTCTCCATCTCATAACTCTATGGGTTAATTAGTAGAACTTGTATGTAAGAGTCTTGTATCCCTGACCCAATCTACTACATCTCAATTTTCATGAGGTGCGGCTCTTGTTTTGAAGCATGAGAACTCTTATATAGCGATGGAATCATATTTTTAAATAAATAATTATATATATATATATATATATATATATATATATATATATATATATATATATATATATTGCTGATGTAAGTGTCTTGTGCCCCTGACCCAATCTACTACATCTCAATTTTCATGAGGTAGTATTCATATAAAATACTAATTTTATTGTAATTATGTACACTAATGAATCATATGCAATATAGGTGAACAATTCAACTAGAAAAGTTGAAAATAAATACAATATATCTGAATACAAATTAGAGACATGTCATGATAGATCACTCCATCTTAAATAAATCAACAATGTCAGACAGAAATTTTTAATATTAACTTGAGATTTTTCTTATTAAAAAAGTTGAAGATTGGCTGGTATCATTCAATACATTCCAAAAAAAAAAACTAGTTACAATTCATCACCACCAAGCAGACCCTAAACCTGCACTAATCCTTATGGGTGGCCATACCCTCAAAGAGGTTCCTTGCCTTGAATGTCTACTCGGTCTAAAGATCATTTTCAACCTCAAATGGAACATGAATATTCTAGGCATCACAAAAGATGCTGGAAGAATGGCCGATTCCTTATATCCCTCCAGAAAATACTTGAACTCCTTCTGCTTCTTGATCTCATCTAACTTTTCTGAAGATAGATCATCTTCAGAAAAGTTAGATAAGATCAAGAATGGAGAATTGCTACCATATCTGGGATGGTGTAGCCCAATCCCCACTCTACAATATCGACATAGTTCAAAAGCACTCGCGCGGCCTTGTGGGTGATGAGTTATTCATCAACCTGCAACCCTTATCTCACAGACGAAACGTTGCTAGCCTTTCGCTATCGCTATTGTTATGGCAAATGCTCTGACAAGTTACATTCTTTAGTCTCATCAGCTCAGATCTTCAAAGCTAGGACCCACTAGGCCGTCATTTTTTTCCCATTTTTTCTCGTTCCTTTTGGTCTTACTGTAACGTCTTCTCCTTCGATAAGGAGTAAGTTCCACTCAGACAACTTTTTGATCAGAACTGTTACTTTGGGAAACTGACTTCCGAGAGAATGCCTACCTGGCCACTACAATTTTGGTATCTTCAAGTCCAAAGTCAACCGATATCTATCTTACACGTCCTTATAATATGCATTTCTTAATTCCACCTTCCCATCCCTTCCAACATTCCCAATCAGTAGCCTTCTACCTTGAGTGTCTCTTGGACCATGAATTGGGGGAAATAACAGTAAATAAGTTCACTCCACATTCTTTTCTGCGGAGCGTGTCTTAGGCAAATAGATCTGGTGGATACCATTCGTGTCCAGGTGAAAATGTCTTCCAAAATGAAAGCTCACCTTGGTCACGGATACATAGCCGTTAATTTCAAGGTTGGAACCCTACACCCTGGTTGTTGACTTCAGTCAAAGAAGTCATCTACAAAACAATGTCATGACATTACCGCACTGTTTGAATGCTAATATATGGAAAAGAGT